ACAGCACTTGTCAAGGGCAGCGAGGCCCGGCTCTCTTACTGTAGACTATAAACATACACAGGTGGCCTGCATGCCACTGCTTATCCTCAGATGGCCACCGAGGAGCATGGTGTCTGAAAGGTGTCTGTAGCACCCGTATGGCATCTCTGTCGCCGGGCTTGTCGGTGTCAAACGGGCGCTTTAACCTGCATTCAGCAGGTTGACATGCGGACAGCTAAACAAGGGTCAGTGTGTGTCTAGGAGAAATAGCTGCAGCTCCGTGGGAAAGAAGGAAGAAAGGAAGGATACTCACTGTATATTTCTGACAGCTGTCTAGGTGGATGTTATTAGGATACATTTCATAATTATTTCAGAATACTTTGCATTTTTAAAATCAGGTATATATTTGAAAAGGAATAGGGCCTGAGTGAGTTTGCATTTAAGATTTTCTTTAGCTGTCTAGACACTTGAAGTGCATCATAAATCATCAAAATCTATCTAAAATGAATAAATCTCTTTCTTAAAATTATTTGAAACATTTAAGATATCCAGCTCTTTCTACTCGAATGCTCCCATAAACCCGACAAGGCCTTGAGTAGAAACACTTCAAGTTTGAAGTGTGAAACGGATTTTGGAATTGTTTGCCCCAGCAGTTTTTAACATCATACTTCCTAACCGGATATATTTTTCTGTATCTTTGTAAGGGAATTGAGAAATTTTTATCTGTGAGCTCTGCTTACTGGCAGTGCTGGTAATCTAGGAAGTAGTGTTTGCTGTTTATCTTTACTCATCATAGGTCACTCTGGGTGAAAGGATCAGCCAAATTAAAAAAACATACATTTATGGTTTCCCAAAATGCTGCAAAATTTCCATTTGTGTCTTTATTCTGCCTTTTTTCATTTATCCACAGAAATGTAATTCCATATGTGGCTTATGCTGCTGACATCGTGCTTTCTACAGAGGCCTATCTGAGCTCTACAGTGTCCAGGAGATGAATAAAGGTAGTGATCTCTCTGCTCAGTGAAAATAACCCCACAAATGGTCCCTTTTTATTTTGCATTATCCTTTTAATTTAAATTTTTTAAATTTATTTTAAACATATATTAGTGTAATGACTTGTCACAAATGACATGCATGTGTTTCGTTGAGAAATATACTTTAAACATTTGAATGTGCACATAGAGAAATAATTTGCATTTACAAGAAGATTGCCTCTAGCATTTAAGATAAATGACACCTGCTTCATAGTTTAATATGAACCTGATCTCTCGGCTGTCACTTGTGTTTGTTCAGTCCTGCTAAAGCTGTGGCCATGTGTGTGAAGGAATTAATAAAAGCCCACAAAACAAAAAGCTTTTATCCTAGAATCCTGTAAAACAGGTTTAAGGTCTTAGATGACATCTGCAATATTTTAATATCTTTATCCACCCTTTTATTTTCCATGGAACTCACACACTTCGTTATGTTTAGTTCAGGAGCCTTTAACCCCGCGCCTCCCTCTTTTCCCTCGTTATTTCACGTGGCAGCGTTGGCACCGAAATGGTGAAGATGCCCCTTGAGACAAAACTTGAGACGACACAATTCTTCCTGGAAACTTTAATTGTTTTGACAACTCCTCACAAGCCAGTGAAGGTCAAGTCCAACAGTGCAGCTGACAGTAATGTACAAGTGCCCTCTCACACTGGCAGGAGGGTGGTGAGGTAAATTCGGTGTTCAATGTCATGAAAAATAAAGGCTTTTCTTTTCTCTTTACATTAACAATGGCTGCTGACTCTCCAACAGGGAAATCATTGAATATTTACTTAAAGACATTGCCTGTCTGAATACAATTGGTTGTTGTCCAAAAGGTGTCTGTTAATGTTCACATATTTCATTAATTCATAACCAACGTTTAATGACTTCATGGTGTCAATCATTAACCTCTTAAGGAGAACCTCTGACTGCACACATATAACAGGGACATTGTTTTACAGTGATTTTTTAAAAGGGATTACATTGTAAACACTGTCACAAGTGCTGTAACTCTCAGTTTTTTTTTGTTTTTTTTTACAAGAGTGCAATGTAACAGAGTCAAATCAGGCCTTTTTTTTAAAAAGATCAAACAGCAGACCAACCCTTTGCTCCAAGCAGGTCAAAGTTGTCATAGTTAATGAGTACAAAACAATTCAAGAGAAAGCTAAGCAGGGCAAATAATAGAAGAACTCGTGTTGAACTCCACCACATATCTACACAGGGAGGGCTGCTTCAGTGCACATTCAAAACCTCTGCAATGAGCCTGACATGCTACATATTAAACTATTCCAAAAACACTGCAAAGAGTTAACTGATATCATCATGTGAGGACATTATTGGCAGAGCATAACCACGTTCATTTACTAAAAGACTTAAAAGTGGAAACACAATATTTACATAACGACAAAAAAAGATTTTAATAAAAATATCTTATAATTACAATAGTCTATTTTAAGCATATAAGTCTTCCTTTCACATACTTTTATAGAACATTTGTGTCTCTATATGTACAATCTTAATTGTCTCGAATCAGAATTGTTCTTTTTTACAATATCAAACATTTTAAGATTCCAGGGATGACATCCCTGTTCAACACAAATCATCTATTTTAAACAATAGATGTCCAAAACATGTACAATGATTTTTCGCAGTTTAGTAAAGCTTTAAACTGGAGTCATTTTTAGTTATTCTTTAAGCACAATTCACAAACAGTTTTCATAGCTGTTGACAGACGGGTTTCCAACAAAAAAACTTCTCAGCGTGGGGATTCCACGTTTTCACTCTTTTAGAAAGAAATTTCAAGTGACAAGAAGTAAAGTTAGAGCAACTTAAACAGGAGGAAGGAGAGGGAGATGTCTACATACTGATTCCTTGTTCAATGGAACCCAAAAAAAGGGAAAAAGCTGATATGAATAGTGATTTTATTTGGGTTGAATTCCTCCCAGCGGTTTTGAAATCCCCTTGTGATTGTGCCTCCAGTTGGGTGTGAGTCCCTGGCGAAGCTTTGCTGGCTTTGGAGCGGCTCTGTGTAGCCTGCACACCTGTGGAGGGGATGAATAGCAGCGGGGGGGTGAGCTACAGAGCTCCAGACTTACTGGCGCCACCGACAAAACAGAGGCCATGCTTGATCAACAACCCAAAACAAACCAGGTCAAACAACAACCACACAGCTCCTCAGGCTGTTGGGCAAGGCTGCCGAGAGGCTCTCAGAAAGACTGCAAGAGTGTCTCACTGTAACACACACCGCGTACATGCTTTTGGCCTTGCCCAGGTGTGTTTAGATTCAGTGCTATAAAACTAACTTTACAGCCAGAACTGCAGCTTGAATGGGACTGTGAGGGACAGACAGAGAGTGAATGAGAGAGAGAGCGAGAGAGGGAGGAAGGAGTGTGTGTGTAAGAATGAAAGAGAGGGCAAGCTGAGGTTTTAACCCTCTCTTCTTCCCAGATTGCTACACCAGTGACAGTTATTGCGCAAAGCACAGCTGCCTCTGAGGTTGGTGCCAATTTAAGGTTTCTCAATTATTATTTTCCCTGACATCTACTGGCCTCCCCAGAGCACTCTAGAGATTGTCAATTTACACCACATATAGGCTACAATAATAAAGTTAATGGGGATGCCTCAGTGACCACCACTTATGGTGTTTTCAACTGGCCACACACACAAAAACAGCAAGAAAACTTGTGATTGTAAATAAAAAAATAAATTAGAAAAACACATTTAAAATGTTATTTTAGGCCAACTTACCAATGCAGTGCTTATATCTCAGCGGCATAAAATAGAGTCCTCCGGCTTTTTGACTATTGACGTCCTCTACAAAAAAAAAGCAGAAAAAGGAAACATGTAAAACGGGTTATCTCCCATGGATAAGACTAAATAAAGGCAAGGCCTAAAGCCCTGCAAAATAAATGATATACAGCAGAGCAGTAGAAAATCAGCCGGCTATATCTCCCATAATAAATTCTCTTATAGCCTATTGAATAACAAATTGCCCTTATTGTGCGCAGTGGAGTGGGCTGCAGGCTGAAGGTACTTCACCAATCCTGGGATAAGGTGGGCCTCTGACACACACTGTCATTATCATGCAAATCATAAAGCCCGCAATCAAGTGCGCAATCTAACCCACGCCGAATGCGTTTTTTGCGCATGATTTTTCAAGGCTGTGCAGTGAGCTGTGTAGCATTTTCAGTGTTTTCTGTCTTTTTGTCCTAACATTGGAAGGACAATGACACATAACGGGCATGACGCGCTTTGTCTGAGTCTGAGTGGCGGACGGCAGTCTGGCACGGGGAGGTACAGTAAATCGGGGTCCCCGGTAAGTCCCGCTGGAAACGAGGAATGGAGAGCCGCCTCCGCTGATTAAAGCTTACCTGGTGGTGGTCTATGTTGAGCACCGTCAGCGGTGTCCGGCTGGGGTTGGAGGCTGGAGGAGCAGGGCAGGTCCCGGTCTGTTGTGGCTGTTGTTTATGGAGAGAAGGGTGCGTCTCCAGGGCCAGCTGCAGGTCCAGGATGTAGTCTATGACATGCTGGAGGATCTCCACTTTGCTGACTTTCTTATCCTGCGGAATGGTGGGCACCAGGCGCTTCAGCCGGCTGTAGCAGTCGTTCATGTCGTACTGCAGGCAGAACAGGTCCTCCTCTTCCATCCTGCACCGGGCGATGTTGAGGCTCTGCTTCGACAGATAGTGCAGGGAGAGCTCGCTGCCGCTGGAGGAGGAGTCCTGGGGGTGGACTGGAGTAACAGCCTTCATCTTAGATAACCAACGGCTCAGAGAGAGGCAGCGAAAAAACAAACAAATAATTACACTACTGGTAGCAGGAGGTATTTGAGATTATGCGCTGTAAACACGGCGAAAGCTACTCTAATACAGCCGCAAATTAGCGAGAGAATAAGATAAACCAAAAGGCGGAATTCTAGTCTGTCAACACATCCCGTGGAGCCTCACAGTTCCTCTTACTTCAGCAGGCTCGGTGTGAAAGGAATGAATAGATTTCCTACATTTATAGAGGAGAGGGGAGGCGCCAAGCCAGCCGGCTGACAGATCAGGGAGAGAAGCTGGTCAATCACCGGCAGCCCGCTGCCCACCGACCCCACAACGGAGCCGAGAAAAAGGCGTGTCTCATTCTGTGTGTGCTGCGGTGGGCTGCCTGTTGGTAGGAGAGGTGTTTGTATGTGTGTGTGAGAGAGAGAGGGGGAGAAAGGAAAAGAGAGAGGGAGAGAGAGAGAGAGGCAATTTAAAGCCGTCAATTGTGCATTAGCATCGCCGTACAAAGAAAAAAGTCTCAAGTATCTTTACGAGCAGCCGAACAAGAGGGCTAGCTTGAAGATTTCCTGATTGATGCATTTGCACAATTCAGCTGGCTGATTACCGTCGGATTGCATCTTTAGTTCCGTAGTCATTGATGCGTAATTACGCACAGGCTCACTTGTATTGATCACCCCTGTGACAGATGATCCCGAGCCGAACCACCTGCTTAAATGGAGAAACCTGTCTCACCTCACGGTGGAAACCAAACTGAAAACACATCGTGACTGCAGTCCAAATAATTCATTATAAAATGTAGCTACATGTAATAATATTCCAGTTCATTTTAGGACTTTCAGCACATGTGTGAAACTATTAACTCTGACCTTATTGCAGTCTATAATTACAACGTTATTTATGCAGCATTCCTTCGGTGAATTGTAATTTTCCTCTGACACTTGTTTTTATCAGATTTATTACCACTTCATAAGAGAAACCGGGGTCTCGAGAACGTATAATTCCCATCATCATCTCTGATCTAATAAATTGTTATTATGACTTCATATAACAAACATTTTCTTTTTCACAACCCTGACTGCAGCTCTAGGGGAGCCGGGACAGGCCGATTTGGCAGCGCCTCCTTGCCATTCCTTACTCCAGCTGTGTGTTATTGTGCCTCCTACATTCCTCCGCTCTCGGGGACGCGTCGCCGCTCCGCTCCCTCCCTCACAGCCGCCTATTGAGCTGCCCCGCCGGGTAGACTGCCTGGCGCCACACATGGGGAGCTCATCCATTCACACCCAGCTCCTCTCCTCTCCTCTCCTCTCCTCTCCTTTCTTTCTTTCTTTCTTTCTTTCTTTCTTTCTTGTCAGACAGGTTGCCAAGACAACATGGAAGCTACACTCAGCTTCAGTTCAGCCTGAATCCTTAGTGTTTTCCATCCAGGATGCATAGGGGGGCCCTGAGGTCTGAGTCTAGTGGGGATGACACCCACCTCAGTGCCTCTTTGGAGGTTTAATGTCCCAAACTTTATGGGAACCACCACAGTCTCTTCTGTCATGAATATTGAAAGGCTTAAATGGCTTTAAATGGGTATTTTCCTCTTCTCGCTGTGTCTCTGTCTTTCTCCCTCTGTCTCTCTCTTTCTCTGTTTTCTGTTGCCATGGGAAGTGACTGTTCTGCTCAGTAATGTGTGCAACAATGTTTGGTTCAGGGACAACTTCAAAGGGGTCAGTGGTATGAATCTTTGATGGTACCCTTTCCACTAGCAACATGGTGCATGAACTCTCGCCCATGACAAGCAGATGACGGACTAGGTCTGAGAGAAAAACACTGTCCAGTTTAGCCATAGCAATGACTCACAAATGCTTCCACTTTGACCATGTATGTCTATAATAAAACAGAAAGTTGGAGATTCTACACAGTCTGAATTTCAAGCTCGTTGGCTCTCTTTCTGGAGGCTAATGGGTTGAAAAAACTTGCTGCCAAGAATAGTTTTCCATATAAAATAATTCATTTGTAGATTCCACAGAAATGCTTCAAAACAGGCAAAACCAAACCAAAGACTGTAACGAGGAATACAGCAAAGTGTATTTGCATCCACCTGTTTTGGAAATAAAAATTAATTACATATGATGTGTAATATATACATATATAAAGTTTTTACGCTTGGCAGAGGTGGAAAAGTTGTGACAAGTTGTGTATAAATAAAAACAGAATGTGCTAAAATGCAATGGAAACAGACGTAGCAAATAAATGATTACGTACAGGAAGCATGTGGCTTATATGTCCAGTGTATATTAGGAGGATATATTGGCAGAAATATAATTTAATATTCTCAGGTATGTTCTCATTAGTGAAAGAATCACTCTGTTACCTTAGAATGAGCTGTTTGTATCTAAAGAGGGAGTGGGTCCTCTTCTACTGAGTCCGACATCTTGAACTACCATGTTTCTACAGTGAAGTGAAACAGACAAACCAAATGCTAGCTTCTACAAAAACATCAGATTAATTCCTGAAACACATAAATATCACATTTCCATCACGAATTGCAGATGGTTCTCCATTGTTTAAGGTTTGACTGCAGCTCCATGGTGCCTTCTTCTTCTGCACTGGTTTAATGGCACTCAACTGGAGAATTAGCACCACCAAATGTTTATCTCAATGGCCACAACTCCTAATATTAGGGGATGAAAACACACCTTCAGTTGCATTTCCTATTGCAGATCTTCTGGAAATGTATTTAAAACAAGCTCTACATTTAGACAGAAATTTGACTACTGTCTCTAAAATTCATCAGCAGGTGTGGCTCATGGCTCTTAAGTATTCATCCACTGAACGCTGATAGACCTTTTTCAGAGCAGCCATTTTGACATGAAATAGTAGGGTAAACACAAGTGTTACCAATGATACTAATTAGGGTTCCATTCCATTTAGTGTAACAGAGCCTTTCCAGTAAGTCAACATGCACAATAGCAGCAACCTGCTTGTGTTTACCCTACTATTTCATGTCAAAACGGTTGCTGTGAAAAAGGTTGTGTATTCTTCCTGTTAGGTGTTCATTTCAGATATCTGAATTGGGAAGATCTCGTCACACGAGCATTTCTGTGCCAAAAGTATTCATTACAATGTAATCGCTGTGATTAGTGCATTCACTTATGGGGGTAAATTAAATCTGTCCACATATTTTCACATCAGCTTTCATGAAGGAAGCTATCGTAGCTTATTATCTATACGTTGCAACATCCACTTTTATTGAACCTCCTTTGTCGGAGTATAAACTGTGCTACACTAAAGGAATAGTTTGCATACAGTTATGATAAAGTGTGAGATTGGAGTTGATGCAGAAAATACGTCTTTTAACTGTCTGAACTTATTCTCACCAGCTTCAGTAACTTACCAACTAACACTAAGCTAAGCTAATAGAACCACATATTTCATGAGGACGTGCAGATGGATTGTGCCGTACCACTTGCAGGTCTTAATATAACCTGGTTCTCTTTTTTATGTTAAAGTATTTGTGGTTGATTAAGGTTCAAGAAATAACCTTGATGAAGTCATAAAGTTTGGTGTGTCCTGTGTGTGTGGCTAGTGTGTCTGAGCAGGAATGTAAACAAGATGCACTTTGACTCTTTGTGCTCAGTAACCTTGTTATAGTCTATTCTTGTCTGTCTTTAGTCCTGTACCCAGTCAATGATGCATAGATCACCCTCAAGTTTAACACAAGCAATAATTCACACTTGGTCAGAACAAAGGAGGAAACATGAACGTGCATTATCTCTACGCCCTTCTGTCTTTGTGTTTGCTTTCTCGTGCTTCCTCTGCATGTACTTCTCTAATTGTGGCCCTTCTGGTGCTACTTCCCTAAAGGTTTATAGCGGTGCTGACTGGGGACTGGAGCTCGGTAACTAGAGACTCATTACGAGATAAGCCTGATAGGTGAAGCTCTCTGTTTGTTGTGGCTACACAATGTGGAGACAGAAATCAGACAACTGACTTAACCAGTCTGCTCTTTCTGACAAAAACTCCACGTGTGCAGTTGCTAGAGAAAGTGCATTATTTCAACTAAATCTTTGGCGGGCCAACAGTGCAGCAACCATGCGCAAAGTGGAAATTGCGTGATGGCTACATCTGTGCAAGAGGTTTCCCAGGGATGTGGTTTAAGTTGCAATGGGTGGTGACACATGCTCTCAGGTGGCAGAGGTGGCCCAACACCTCTTATTCCCTCCTGCTATTAAAACACGAGATAATCTCATTTCACTGAGCAACTTATGATGGTAACCTTACACCACCACCTTTTATTTGGTTGAAAAATGATTTATATTTAGATTGAAGGTGTTATTTTGGCATTGTGAGGATGACAGTTTTTGATGACAGTTTTTTTATGACGGTTTTTGAGCACTAGAATCATTTAGAGTTTTAAGTAGATTTTAAAAATAATATTTAATTCCATTGGTTAACAAGGTTATATGGCAGGTTGACTCATTAGCCACAAAGATAATATTTTTGATCCCAGTGTACACACCTAGAGACGTTATATCCAGATGTAGCTGGGGAATGAGGTAACAAAGTAAATAATATTCCAAAACTTAAAAATCCACAAAGCAGTATTTCATTTCAAACTGAACCCAGCCTTACTGTCACACTTTCCAAAACTACAGAACAGTTATATCAAACATACCATTTACAAAACACACAGGGTGAAAGATGTTTCAGCCCAACCAACGACCATTATCAGGTCTATCCAGCGAGGTCAGACAAAGATTTCCATCAACACAGAGAACACAAAGAGGATCTTGTAATCTGGGGGACGAATAAACAACTTTAAATATTCTAATGTAAAATTAATAATATAATAGCTGCTGTTTGTAACTACAAATAGCCCATGGACAGATTATGAGATAATGCACCCTTGGAAACTGACAAATAAAATAAGTCCCCCACCTCTCCTCCACAGGAGCCAGACACCCAGCCTGAAAGATACACAGAACGACTGTAGTCGCCCAACATGTCTCTGTCCCACATGACCCATCACTGCTACCTCTGAAACTCTCCACATGACGGCTCGCATTCTCAGAAACTTTCACCATCTCATGACTCCTGAACTCAGCCCCAGCTGTGCAGCTTGGTTGTGGTTTTGATGGGCGACAGAACAGTCTCTCCAGACTACAACTTGTAAATAATACCCAACAGGTGGGTTGCCTTTCTGTTATTTGGTCTGTCTGGTTGTGCTGGGTGGTGACACTCTCTCGGTGTCTCCCAGTGGCACAGCTTGTCCGTAATCTCTCTAACATTTGCATGCACAGTATTTGCTATCTATCCCAGATGCAGGAGAGCTGCTGGTATCTTCTGAACCCAGATCTGTCTGTGTCGGCTGGCTCAGCTGTGGTTGTGACGGGTGGTGCCACACTTTTTTTTTCTTGTTCCCTCCAGGTGACACAGTTTGCACAACATGCCTTATTCCCTGATGGCCTCCCAGCTAAACACAACAGCTCTCTCTGTGTCATTTACACAGGTGCATTCACTGTTTACACTGTGCAACCTGAGTAACCATCCACACACACACACACACACACACACACACACACACACACACACACACACACACACACACACATGCATACACACCTACTAGGAAACGCACACACAAATGCATAATGAGAGATACCTGGGAGATTTAAGTTACTTTAAATAAAAAGAGTGATTGACCACTGCGGCTAATTTGACTTCTTTGAGCTTTTTTGCTGTAACAAAAAAGCTACAACAAGATGGAAAATGTGCTACAGGGTAAAAATAGAGTAAAGAGGAAAGAAACCCCGCTTAGACAGATCTCTCCGCAGACAGGCGCACCATGTGCCAGTCCACCTGTGGGGTTTGTGTTTAGTAGCCATGATCTATTCTCATATTAACTGTGCTAAAAGTGGGAGCTGTGTTCTGGGCCACACTCATTTAGGTCAGAAGCAGTTCAGTCAAGTCTAAAAGCATTATTCACTGCCTTCTTGCCATGGCCACTGGGAGTTTTTCATAATTCCCCCAGCTGCTGCTTTCACTTCCCCATTTCCCACCATGGTCACATCAAACAGTCCTGACCTGGCGTTTTGGATACTCGCTCAGTTTTGCCCTGTCCTGTTTGTACTCCAAACTGTGGAGAGACCCAACAACATGTAGGTGCAGACAGATATTTGCGTGAGTGTGTGTGTGGTGTTCTCTTTGTGTTTGTGATGGTCTCTCTCTGTGTGTGTGTGTGTGTGTGTGTGTGTGTGTGTGTGTGTGTGTGTGTGTGTGAGTGGCAACAGGTGCGCCGTTGTTGCATCCTGTTGCACAGCTGCTGCCCTGCTTGTTGGCTCTTCTGTTAACATCAGAACCTAAATCCTCCCTTTCAGGTTAAGCTTTGTACAATATTTTATTAGCCTGTTTTCTTAAAGGATATTTGGCTCATACATTTCCTCGAGTAGACAATCAGATGAACACTTGCTTCCTTTGCCGATGACGCAAGTTCGGTGACAAAATGTTGACCTGGGCCAGAAATAGAGAGATAGAAAGACACTAGGACAAAGAGGGACACAGCATCTTTCTGTTTGTGTCAAAGTGAGAACTGAAGAGCATCAGTACAGTTGGACTGTGGACTTGATGTCAAGCCCAGAGTCAGTTTAGGTGCACAGTTCTCACATCACCTATGTGCTGTAGATGAGTGCTTCCCAAACCACAGCAACCCTCCATAGCCATTTTTTCATGCTCACCCACACCTCATATGTCACATATAACATATATGAGCTCATATCAATAACACATGAAGTAATGAGTCATTTTTCTGTATAAATGTTGAACATAATTTATGTGCTGGGAACGTACAGAGGACTCACTAACACAAGCATGTGTCATTCACTGCAGTGTGATAATAACAGTTAAGCATAAGGTATGTTAAGAAATAGTAGGGGACTAACATTATCTCAGCAGTGAAAAATGAGCTCTAAATGAGCTCCATTTAGCTATTAAGCTAATTGTAAATGATGAGTAGACCAGTCTGGTGGTTTGGCGGAGAAATCTGCTTAAAAAAAATATAAGAAAATAAGAAAGAAATGACTCTTTGAAAGAAACATACATACATTATCTGAGGGTGGTGGGCAGCGGGGTTACTGTGTACAGTTGAAAGCCATTATGAATTAGAGGAATAATACTGAATATTGCTATTTTACACACCTGAAATTGAACTGGAAGCATACATCAGCTTACACTTTTTTAAATCTGCAGGACCTTTGAACTTTGAATATTA